AGTCCAGTCCAGTCCAGTCCAGTCCACGAAATACCATATGCCGCCAGAGGTGGATCCAGGAATTTTTGATTGGGGGGGGTCCAAACTTTGGTTCAGAAAGGACTGTTGGACTCTTCGAGGCAAATTACTTCTCTCCCACACCCCCTCCCACCAGTTGCGGTTGCACGTTATAATTCCTTGGCCGCTTACCGTTTTTTTAGATTCATTAAAAAATCAGCCAGTTAAAAGTGATATACAATCCTGTCTCAAAGTTGTAAGCGTCAGGTTTGATAGGGGGTCTGGACCCCCCGGACCCTCCCCCTGGATCCGCCACTGCTAGCTATCTTTACCCCATGCACGGTCAAATTAAAACATGCTTTTATGTTCAGTGTATTACCCAGGTAAAACTACCATAGAACGAAAATGAGTCACATTTTCTGTTTATAACTGTTTTTCAACTCTCACAATCAGTTGATGATATTTTCACTTCCAGTGGCTTAATTTTTGGCATTATTTTTCCAAAAAGAATCTGGTGAAATGAAAGGGTCCTTGGAATAAAATGCTAAGTGACCTCTGAATCAAAATATTAAAATCTCTCCCTGTGTTCACAATGGAATACATGACAATTTGAAAGTCCTTAGGAGAATTTTTAAGTATTTCATGGGCTATAGGCTTTCTTCCATGTGCTAGACTGCGAGTGTTTTTTTTTTTACTCTTGAGGAAGGGTAAGAACTCTTCTCTTGATATTGAGCAAAACTTTGAATAGAAAAGATTGGGATGAGTCATGATCTAGACTGGGCTTAATTTATTCTGGCTTATGCATCTAATTTTCTAACACTTCTCAGAACATGAAAAACTTTAGACTTCTCTTTGTCTCTCTGTGCACCCCTTCAGATAACTTCATCATCCTGAAAGGTTTTTTTTTCCTTGTTATCTATTAGTTTGAATTGTTTTTGTTAAGAAAGTTTCTGTAAACTTGTTAATAACTACTGATAGGTGAAAGTTCTAACAACCAATATTTATACTTTTATTTACAGTGCAATGAAAGAAACCATGTACTGTCCATCAGACAGACTCATCACCAAGGTTAAAAATATCTATATAGGAGAGAAATTACGAAAAAACCAAACCATTACTTTACAACTTACTTCCACACTTTACGTGAATCAGGAACCCATAATCTTTCAGGTGAGCAAGTGCTATCCATGGATGTTTATTTCTTCTTTCTTCCCTTCTTTACAAACTGTTCAGAGTTTTTGCATTTTCTAACAAAACTTGTTCAATGATGTTGGCCAAAATACAGTTCTTGTCTACTGCTTGGATAGACAATATTCAAATCATTCTTTGAAAGGGAGATGAATGAGATACAACAGAAAAAGACATTCACCCTTCTTAAAACCTGCAGGGTTTTATTTTTCAGTGAAGCAAGTGTGATTGACTATTTTCTTTAATGTTTTTTTTTTAGGTTTTCCCCTCTGAAAAGGGCTGGCCTTTCCCCAAACTCTACGGGGCTTGTGGTAGAGCAATCATAGTTGAGGATGCAGGACTTCCTCTTGATTATTTTTTGTCATATCCTTGGGTAGAAAGAGCAAAGCTGGCCCTTGCAGTAATCAAGATTGCAAAGCAGCTGTCAAATAATCCAGAAAATTGGGGATTGTATATGACAGAGATAGCAATGGATAATTTTGCAGTATCAAATGGAATGGTGAAACTTGAAGATGTAGATAGAATTTTAGTGGCTGATCTGTCACGATCAGATATCAAAGGTAATGTTAGCAATACTGTGTATTTATTTTTTTAAATGCCTTTTTAATAGTAAGATAATTTGGTGTTATCAACAGAAAAAGGGCTAGTAACTAGCTCATCAGTACATTAAACCAAATTGTCTAGTTTAGTCCCACAACGATGCAGCACCACAGTTTCTAGAGTAACTTATCCATTTATTCATTTGTCTTTTAAATACTAACTCAGTTGTGGGAAGAGCAAACAAACTAGAGATTTTTTGGGGTCAGTTCATTGACAATCTAGTTTGAATATGGAGACTTCCTGGTTGGATGCAATTTAACCCTTCAATCTCTGAGGCAAAATGGAGGTAAAATTATTTCTTTTAATGATATCTGTACACTATCAAGCTGTTGGGTGATGTGAATAAAGAAATAAAATATAATCCAGGGGATATAATCTATTTAAAACCAAATTCTTGGAACTTCAGCTGTAACATTTGAAGAACGTTTTGCAAATGGTAAGAAGAGTTACAGATAATTCAGAAACATCTTTAAAAGAGCCTTTCCATGACTTTGTTCTAACTCTGTTTCATAGCTGAAAGAGAAAAGACTGTGGATGTTTGTGATTGGACAGAGACAAACTGCTTGTCCTCACATCCCACTGAACTTTGCGAGGGAGTCATACGTGATCAAAATTATTATGCAGTTTGCCGCAGTGTGTTATCAGACCTGGGAAGTGTGAAAGGACTGTTGCACTCCCCTCCGGAAGAAGGTGACTTTAGTGATATGTTACAGGA